CGTTTGAAATGGCACACTTAAAAAGATCAGACTGGAATTGTTCCAGGAAAGCCTCCCACATCAATATTAAGGTAATGCTAGTACTGCAGGTGACACTGATGGCAAAATGTTTTGATTTCTGATGTGAGTCACTCATTCATACCTGTTGGAACCGCTGGAAGAATGTGTGAGGCTTTACTGAAATACTCGATATGTCATGGTACCTGTCCCCATCCTGTAATGTTTAGGCATGGCATGAAAAATATTTCATAAATATGGAGATAATTCTTAAGTTCTGGCTGTTATCTTGGCTCTGCACTGGCTTTGCATAGCCTTAGTGATGTTGCTCAGCATGGAGGTAAGGTCTCACTTCCCTGAAGCTTACTTCTTTGTGAGCATTAACATGTTGTTTGAGATATAAGGGCTGAAGTCCTGCTGTGATTGCACAGGGGAGGAACTTGCTCTGTGACTGATCCCTTCGGGCAAACTCCATTGCCTGTTTTGCTCCTGAAAATTCCTGTTTTACTGCTAAGTTTTCCAAGAATACTTAGGTATAGGGCATATTTTGCTACAGAGCTGTCTAGATCTATGCAACGGAGCAAGCAGCGCAAGCACAGAAAGCTCCACAGAGAGCAGGGTGGTGATGGGCTGACGATTTACGTGTGGCATAAATGAGCCTCTTCAGCTAGATGCTTTTCTTGGCTCAACTTCTGCGTCACGCAGGGTTCCTGGACCAGCCTGGACCCTTTGTGGGGGCTGGTGGGGCAGCCTGTGACCAGGCCGAGGTGGCTGCTGCTGGGTGGTGAGGGGCATTCTTCAATCACAAGCAGTGAGCATGAAGAACATCCCTTCCTAATCTTCTCACCAGCCCCTTTGCTTTCATACAGCCAGTTAGGAGGAGCAAGGGTGGAGAAAAATGCTTTTGGATGCTGGCTGATATACTGTTACATTGCTTTTTGGACATTTTTTTCCAAGCCTACAGGAGCCAAGGTTCAGCAGCCTAAAAATCTTTTTGTCAGAGCTTTAACTGAGGTCACGGGTTTTAAGAAGGTGTGGAAGGCAGGCACAGCACTTTGTGACTTGGGTTTCCCCTTTAATCATTTTTGTAACTGAAAGATAACTGTAGCTGTTATCCTAGGGTTAATGTTTGAAATAAGGAGTAAATTTTCATTTATTCACCTGGACTCTTAGATAAATATTCTTTATTTTATCTTCTGGTTCCTGACAGTTCCCCAAAACATCTAATTTACCGCCCTCACTGAGCAGTTTCACCATTTGTTGTGCAAGCAAACGGAGGGTAATAAAAAGCCGCAGCAGGGATGCAGACATGGTGATTTTTTCTCAGCTGCATACATAAGCAAAGCTCTGCAACGCACATTTAGGCGCTGTCTCTTCCCGTGTGAATGCTGTATTAACCTGCAAAACCTTGACGAGCCCCCGACCTGTGTGACTGGTTGCTGTGGCAACAGGTTGCATAGTAACAGTTTTTGTTCCTGGGTTGAAATCATTTTCTCTTAAATTTGACTTTTTGGGAGGTCAGAAGTTAGGCAATGGATGAAAGTAGAAAACCTTTTCAAAGGAGAAGCAGAAAACGTTGATGGTCTGCAAAGCGTTCTTTGTTCGTGGCAGCGGCAGAAAATAGCCAGCCCCACGACCTGCTGCACTTGGGTGAAGCATCTCAGCAGAAAAAAAAATAAAAACACAGCAATTCTTGGTAACAAGATGGCTGTAGGAGCTTCAGGGGGATCCATCTGCTGTGCGATTCATGCACCCAGTCCTGCTCAGGGTGGTAGGCAAATATTAACAGCTTAAGACTCCAGTAACCTTGAAATTTGTGAACTTAAAATAAGTCCCTGATTAGCTGTTCTCCAGCTGGACTGTTTCTAAGCCTCTGTTGTCTGGGTCCTGACCTACACTGGAGCCCTTTATGAATCAAAATTTTAAGGAATTACAACCACACGCTTCTGAAAAGCGGTTTTTGTCCTTTTGGTGGATCTGCTTGATGAGATCCTGTGGGAGACCGCCCTGGAGGGCTGCGAGGCCCAGTGTGCTGAGAGCAAAGCCAAGTGTGGCTCAGCACTGGCATGGATCAGCTCCTGACTGACCTCAGACACAAAACCAAAGGGTGTGGAGGCAGAAGCTGGGAGGGAGTACCTAGGGGGGACACTGAGACAGTGCCTAGGCTTGCAGGGACAAAGCTGGGAAAGGCCAAGCTCAGCTGGAGCTGAAGCTAGCAAGAGGAAGGGCTTCTATGGGTACATGGGCAACCAAAACAAATGAGGGTCTGCTGCTCCAGTGCACCACAGGGAAAGGAAAATTGAAGGTGCTCAGTGCCTGTTTTGCTTTGGCTTTCACTAGTAAGGTCTGTCCTCAGGCCTCCCAGGTTTCTGAGTCTACTAAGAGAGCCTGTGGGAATGTAGCGTTACCCACAGCAGAGACAAGCAGGGATGTGGCTCTTCAGGTAATTGGTACGCCTGTCATAAGTACCAGATGTCCCTGGAAGGCCACTTGGCATTCAGGGGAGGTTCCTGGTGGCTGGAAAAGGGCAAGTATTGCCCTCGTCTTCAAGGAGGGAAGGGGAGTGTCCTGGGAACTGCAGGCTGGGAAGGCAATGCAGCAAATCCACCTGGATTTGCAGAAGGCAAATTGTGCCTGATCAACCCAGTTGCCTCCCATGATGAGAAAGACTGGTGCTGTTGACAAGAAGAAAACAGTGAATGGTTTTAGGCTTGGCTAGTGAGGCCTTTGGTGCGTGGTCTCCTGTAGCCTTACGACCCGTTTGGTGATACGTGAACTAAGTGAGGTATAAGATGGCTGGAAAACTGGCTTAAACATTTATAAGTCCTGAAACAAGGTTCAAGCAACAGCCATCAAATTTGTACAGGCAGTTAGTGGCATCCCACAAAGATTGATATAATAGCTAAAATTGTTAATCGTTGTTACTAAACCCCTGGATGATGGAATGCAGTTCAGCTTCAGCAAAGATGTGGAAAAAATAAATAAATAAATGAGGGGAGTGGTCAAAACACCAGAGGACAGAGCTGCTAGTTAGAGCGGCCTGGGCATGCTGGAGAAATGGCAGACAGAAACATCATGAAGTTGAGTAAAAGCAAACGCAGAGGTTCTCCATGTTTGGGCTAGAATAACCCCGTGCATCAGTTCAGGCTGGGGACTGTGTGGCTGCAGTGCCAGAAAGTGCCTTGCAGATGGTGGTGGGCAAGCTGAGTCTGTCTGTAGTGCACTGTAGAGGAGCCGGAGCCACGTGTTTCTGGGAGATGAGCAGTAAAATGGCAGAAGGCAACACAGGAAACTGTTGAGTAGATATTAGGAAGTTTTTGCTGTGAGGGTTGTCAAACACTGCAGGAGGGGCCCTGGGAAGCTGCTGGATTTCAGTCCCTGGGTTTGATCAAAACTCAGTGTGGCCCAGATGCAGCTGGAGGGGGTTGAGTCAGGCGACCTCCAGGGGCTCCTCCTAGCTGAGATCATCCTGCAAGTCAGAGCTGAATGGGTTGAAGATACAAGTGGACGTAGCTGAGAAGCCAGCACAGAGTTCTGTGTGTGTATGTGGAACTGAAAATGTGTTATGGGGTTATGCTATCCTGCTGCCCTCCATTTCTCTCTCTCTCAACCCTGTGCATCTCTCTTTCCTCTTGCATTTTATAAATGCAGTCATTTTATATGTCAAATATTTGGTAAAAACATGCCACTCTAATCCTCCTGGAGAGCTCTTCTTTGTATTAAACATGTCATTTGTACACTTCTGGCACATATAAAGAAAGGAGAGTTCAGCAGTGACAGGAATATATATATATGGAGGCAGAAGCTTAAAGAAAACCACAATCCAGACATGACATGTGATTGGATAGGGGCTTTCTTTGAGTTATTTATTTCTTTTGTACCAGTTGATGTAGGTTCTTCACAGCTGTCAATGTGTAGCAGTGTCAGAACAGTCACTCAGGGCTGTGCTGCCTGCACTGTGACCCATCAGACAAGGGGCACAGGGAGGAGTGGAGTTGTCTGTTTAAGTCTCAAAAGAGTTTGAGCAGTGAAACAGCAAAAGGTAACATGGGAAACTGATGAGTAGATATTAGAAGTTTTTGCTGTGAGGGAAAGAATTTGGTGTTGGGGCTATAATATACTAGCTGTTAAACATGAGTCTCAAGACGAGCTATATGACGTGCTGAACCATTAGACCAAATTTTGATGGGATATGGGTGAACTCAGTAGCCTATTCATCACAGGTAGTGGAAAGTGATTGAAAGTGAAGGGGTTGGCAGCAGCACAAAGAACACCGAAAGAGAAGAAACAGAGTACGAAGGGAAGCTGTGGTAGGATGGAGCTAACAAAAAATGCAGAGAAGCTGACTTGGCTTGGTTTTAGGCTGTTCTCCTGTAAATCTTAAAATTACTTTGCAAAGCATTGCTAGTCCTTGGGGTGGTGGGAAAGTGCTTATTTGAGGTCTGAAAGATTACACCGGTTGCCTACTGCTTCATCATATCAATGCAAATCAGAAAACAGACAGGAGAGTTTATTACCAGTGGCCTGGCCATGAATGTGCTGGCTGGCTCATCCACCCTGTGATGCAACTGCAGCAGGGTTGTGCATTTGGGAGAGGTAAATCTTCAGGACATGCCTGCTTGTCAGTAAAGAGATCATAGAGCTTTCTTCATGCATGGAAATGTCAAGCAAGCATCTTGACCAAATTATCAGATGGTTGGTTCCATCTTGACACTGTATGATGTGCCAGCGGTTACTCTGAGTGGGGGAAAAGATGTTTTTTGCTTCCTGTCTTAAAATATTTTGGCTGTGCTGCTGTGCACTGTTAATGGCCCTATGGCAGCCTGGAGCAGGCTGTGTTGCAGACGATCAGGAAGTCATCAGGCTCTATATAAAACTCTGCTGGGTTTGCAGAACCTTTTGGCTACTTTCCAGCATGGAAGCTATGTTATAAATAGAAAAATGTCTCACTTTTGAAGTCTGCCTTCCACCCATGGAAAGGAAGGACTTTGTGCCGGGGCTGTGATACACTAGCTGTTAAATACAGGTCTCAGGACCGGTCTTACGACATGCTGAACCACTTGACCACATTTCAATGGGATTTGAGTGAGCTCAGTAACCTATAGCATCACATCTCTTTTAGCTACTTGCTGACATCTGAATAAGGTTTGGCTGTATGAAAGCGGAGTTAAAGGATAATCCATCCTCCCAAGTCCCCTTCCAGCTGCTCCTCTCCCTGGTAAAAGACTTTTTTTTTTTTTTTTGTCAGATTAACAAAATGTTTGGGACTGTGGTGGTTGGAGTTGGAATTGCTGGCTTAGCACGGATCCGAGACTTGATGAATCCGATGCCTTCCAGCCCTTCTGAGCATCTGAAACTCCTTGGATTTGTATCCAGGTTAGAAATTTCCTCTTAGGATGCGTAATATGTATATTGTAATGTTTTCTGCTGGTGCAGTGTGCCTTTCCATATGGAGGACTAATTTGATGGAGACAGGGAATGAATAGTGGAAGTTTTCTATTTCTCTTACAGTGAGGGCTGTCTGCAAAGGGAAAGTTTATGCAAATATGTCTGTCATTCTGAGTGGCAGCTAGGAAATGAGTACAGAAAGCTTTGCAAGAGAGACCAAATAGGCTACCTTAGAGAGATACCTTGCAGAAATGACTCTGAAATAAAAACTGAGACCTTCTTGCTGCAGCATCTATGTGATAAAAAGAAGTGCAGTTCTGTCTGGCTGAAATTTTCTGTAGGTTCAGGGATGTACAGACTTAAAATATTCAAACTGGTGTCTGTATACAGCTATAGAAATGTTTAAAAAACATAAGAAGGTTTACGAAGTTTTAAAATGTTTTAAAAATAAAAAGTTTCCTAAAAAATATTTATTGCAAAGTTTCTCATGCTGCAACTTCATCTTTTTTTTTTTTTTAAAAAAAAAACATACTGTAACTGTAGAAGTCTTTAAAGAAAATACTGTAATTTAGTATTTACAGTAAGGTTGCCTGTCAGAGAGCAATGTTGTTTTTTTTTTTCTCTTGATAGCTTGGAGCAATAGAAATTTAATGGGACTGATATGCATATATCTCCCTCTGAGGTATTTCTGCCAGACCATCTGCCCCATAACACCAAAGCATAAAGGTTTTAAATAGTTAAGTGGTACATGTATAGATCTTAGACTGTGTATGTATTTTTTCCAGCTATATTTAAATCATGCAGTCAGAGTTGTTTGAGACTGAAAGAACCCATTAGGTCATCCAATTTATCTTCCTGCCAGATACTCCCTTGGTTCCCTGATGCCTGTGCTAGTGCTACAGCCAGCCTTGAACAACATTAAAGATAGGGTTTCCACTACTGTTGAGAAACAGTGCTGTCAAAATACACAGTTCACAGGCGGCTTGCGTGGATATACTGCCTTGCTCTTTGCACTCCAGTCGAATGCAGACATTGCCTGTCTTTCTTCTCAAGTCCTGCTTGTGGCATGCCCTCATCCCCTCTGTCATAACACTATCAAGCTGTCTGCTCCAGTCTTTGTTAATGCAAAGGGCAGGTGTGTGTTTCATTTTCAGGTGGAGATGCGTGTTGGCCAAGAGAACCTTCCCTTTAGCACTGGCACGATGTGTGTGTTGCAGATCATGAGCCATCACAGCCAAGCATCTGCTTTGTCACTCTGCTGCTTCTCTGTGCTGGTTGTCATTGCATGTGGCACTGCCAACTCAGGTGCTTTTGTCCATGTTGTGCAATTCACTGGGGAGAAGTTCTCCTACAGGTGCACTGTCCTCTTTCAAGTTACTGTTTTAAAAACTGCTCTTTTATTACAATGCTTCTAAAAAAACCACTTTGCTCTTCAACAACTGGATGGTTTCTGTTCTGATGCTACCACCTACCCCCTGACCCATCTGTTTGTTCTTTTGTGTGCTTCACTTCTGACTGTAAGTGCTTTGCTCTTTCTGGATCACAAGCTTCCTTTGTTCTGCTTTGGTTTAGCTCAGTAGAACAGAGGTCCATGGCAACAATTTCCAAGTGCTGCTTCACAACATGCAGTTGGGAAGAATGGACTGAAATAGTTATGCTCTGGTTTTATTTATGCTAAATGCACAGGAGAAGTTTTGGCAGTATTAATGAAGCCAAGCAGATTAGCCTGGAAGATGCTCTGAGAAGCAGGGAGATCCATGCAGCCTTCATCAGTACAGAAAACAGAAGCCATGAAGAAACCATCAGGTATTTTGAGTTGCTTTTCCTGCTGCTTTCCCTTGTCCCCACCTTTCACGTTAACTTAGAAGCATAAAGGAGCTGTGTAATGCTGTTGCAGGAAAGGATGTGGATACCTGAGGAGAGACTGGCAGACTAGAAGCCTGAAGTAAATGACGGTGACTTCCCTAGAGTAACACATAAGCCCTGGAATAGAGTCAGATTTAAGATGCATTAGTTTCCCAAGTAATTCCAGTCACATTCCTATGGGCTTGTGTTTGATGCATAGGTAGCTTAAAACAAGATTCACAGCCTTTCCTCACAGATTAGGTAGTGGAAGGGCACTCCAATAGCCCCTCCAGGCACTCAAATATCTGGGACTTTAAGTTGCAGTGCTTAATGCTTCAGCATTTTAGCAATTTGCTGTAGGTGAGTGAGGGAATTCTGTGGAAAAAGCAGAACTGAACTCCAACTCTCCTGGTGTTTAAGCCACCACACTGTCCTTGCCAGGAGAGTTGTGATTTATTTCTGTCACTGTGTGTTGTGCCGACTGTGGGAATGAGAAGCAGCTAGCACAGTGGAGAGAAATGATTACGATACTGTACTTTTTAAAGACTGATCTTGTATCCCTTTCAGAATGTTTTTAGAAGCTGGGAAACACGTCCTCGTTGAGTACCCCATGGCTTTGTCTGCAAAGGCGGCCCATGAACTCTGGGAGATGGCTGAGCAGAAAGGTAATGGCATTTGATCCCAAGGCTGTAAACAGCATTACCTGCAGGGTAGCACCAATGGCATCAAACCCAAAGGCAGGACTTTCCAGTCTGCTATTACTCATGATATGCAAAGGAGTATGCCTATCTCAGAGATGTGTCAATCTAGGATTTAAGGCAGTGTGCCAATGGGGAAATAAATACAGAAATGTCAAGGCTAGGAGTAAAGTATGTCTACCCTCACTGAGGGTCTCAGCTTCTGGCACTAATAATGTTGTTAAAGAAAAGTTCTGTCACAGTGATAGTAAAGCACTTAATGAACGTAGCCATTGAACTCAGCACCTCCCTGTCCTTTCTCTCCCTGTAAATAAAGCTGGAAACAGCTCCCCTATCTTCTAGTGTTTGTGACATGCTGGTTGCACACAGATGCTTATGTTATTGTGGCCCAGCAAGGCATCCCTGTTTGAAAGAAAGCTTATCCCCAAGCAAGATCTTTTTAATTGTGGAGAGCATATGGTCCCATCTCTGCAGTACCAAGGATGAGAAGCTGGCAGTTTGGCTGAGGCCAGTAAGTGGGGATGTATGGGACTGCAAGAAAATGAACAGTGCTGGACAGGAGCAGAGTGCAAATCATTTGGACAAGCTGCACTATTTATACCGCTGCTTCTTAAAAATTTCCTTTGTGACTTTTGTCCTAAAACACCGGAGGTATAGGATTTCTGCTTTGCTCTTTCCCTGCACCAACACCACTTACTGCCTTGTTGCCAGCCAAATGGCTTTCCATTGAGCAGAATTTATGCCTCTTCTCTTGAAGCAGAAGCAGCAACTGTCAGCAACCTAAATTGACTCTTCTGGAAACCTTCCAGAAAAACACAGCGTGAATGAGGACCAGATTCAATGCATATTGGATATCCTTTATTCCAGCGTAGCCCGATTAATTGCAATGGAGGAGGTGCTCCTTAGCATATTGTTACAATCTGGATCTAAGTATTGTGCAATGGATTTTTTTTTTCATCTTTTTTCCTACTACTCTGGGAAGAAAAATGCAGAATAGGGAGGCATGAGGGGAAAGAGGCCAAGAATTCATTCATCTTTTACTTTGAATACTAATGTTTCAGCTTTAGTTGCGTATATGGTTTCATTTCAGTGAAAACCATGAACTCATGCCTTAGCACAGAGACTGCATTTGCTTTTCCTGCTAACATCATTTTGCCAGCCATATATGTGAGCATTTTTAAGTGAACTCGCACTGGTGGATGGTGAAGCCTTTACTGCTTAGATGCGCCTTTGATTCACACAGAAAGCTCTTATTTAATCTGACCTGATTTTTTCCTTTTTTTTTTTGATGGTAGATAAAGTTCTTCATGTGGAGCACATTGAACTTCTGACTGAAGAGTACAAGCAGCTGAAAAAGGAAGTGGCTGGGAAAGACCTAGTGAAAGGAACCTTGCATTTCACAGGTCAGTAGCTGAGGAGACTGAGGTTCAACAACACTTGTCTGCTTGCTCCGTGGGGATGCCAGCCCTTCCAGGCTTTTTGCAGACCTTTTAGATAACAGTCCATCTATAAACTGACTAGACGCATAAGTATTGGTTCTATATGTTGCCATGAAATTATGGAACTGTCTGGAAAACACCTTTGCATTAACAAGTGTCATCAATGAGCTGTATGCTAACCTATCTGCTATGACAGGTGAAGAAAACACACCTGTACCTTGTATGGTGGAGGGAGTATTTCTAAACCTCTCCTGTGCTTTGGTGGTGGTGACCAGTTCCTTCATTCTAATACCCATATGAGATCTGAGGAAGTGTCCCAATTTCCAATGGGGACATTTAGTCTTTCACAATCATGTTTTGCCTCAGAAGAAATGGGAGAGGTTTTTGAGCATTTTTTTTTCTCCCTGCTCTGTTGCCTTGTGAATCCACAGACACCCTCCTGCCCTCAGTATGTCCTGAGGAGCTTGTTGTATATGTTCTTTGTGCAGCCGTCTGTCATAGCTTGCCAATTGGATCCATTTGAAGGTTGACCGTGTTTGTTGACTGCCTGCTCAGTCCATCCACTGATGGCCTTCCTACACCCTGGTCTCTAAACCTGCAACACAGTAGTTTCTTCAGCCTTTCCTATGCAGAGTGCATTATTCTTTTCCATTTCTTAAGCCTTTCTATTGCTGTTGTAACAGGTAGTGTCCTTGATGAAAAGAAAGCAGGATTCCCAGCTTTCAGTGGAATTGCCCGATTGACTTGGCTGATTGACCTCTTTGGAGACCTCACTGTTACTTCTGCCACCAGAGAAGAGCAGAAGGATAAGAATTATTCCAGAATGACCGTTCATTTTCAGACAGCAAACAAGAAGTGAGTAATGACCATGGCAGCAGGTGAGCCAGCCTGTTCAGGTGTCATCTGCAGGAGTTCGGCATCATTTTTTTCCACTTGTGGAAGTAAAGTAGGTTAATACTAGCATGAGGTTATACACAAGACATTAAAGTGTTTCCTTTAGGTAGACAAGTGTTTCCTCATGGTAGAAAAGAGCCACCTCCAAACAGTGTCCGTGGAAGAGCACAAGAAGGTTTTTAAAGGTTCTGATGTCTGAATGTAGGAATGTGCCCATAATATATTTCACCAGAAAAGGTGTTCAGAGGCAGGATGTTTTTTGTTTTACATCAGACATTCTTGTATGTTGAAAGCTAACCCTTTTTGAAAGGTTGAAAGCATGTGACTGAACATACAGTGCACTAGTCATAATACTTATAGCACTATAATGCTTACACTGTTATGTAGCACTAGCTGAAAGTTAAGAGAATATGACACATTTGGGGCAGAACTGTAATGAACTACAGAAAGTCTAGAATATGTTTGCTCTTGACTAATGCCTAATCTGTAGTCCTGAAGATTCCTTGATTTTTCCTGAGCAGGGCATCACTCTGTTTCCCATATCTTGTCTTTTTGCTTTTGTTGCGCTTGTCTGTCAGACTGTGAGAACATGAATCCAGCAGCCAGAATTACTTGTAATTTTGTCTAGCTGTTGCAATATGACTTTCTTAAAGAAAACTCTTTTGATTATACATTTTTAAACAATGAGTTAGATCTCCTCTTTATTATATGGTAACAATAACCTTGCTATAAACTAGTATGTTTTAATAGCCCTGCTATAAAGTATACTTTTAAATACTTTATGAGTGTGAAATAAGTTGTCAGTATTCCATTCTGTGTTTTGAGTACTCAACCTGATCCACAGTATGGTGTTGTATTTGATGGAAACTCTCCATTTTGATAATTGTGGGCCATCCTCATGGAGGTCATCTCCTTTCAGGTAAGTGGAAGTTGAAGTAGGTTGAAGCATGATACAGCTGCAACATGAGAGTTGTCTGACATTAAAAAGTATAGTGAAGCTTTTCCATACATTGTGCTCTGCCCTTATAAATATATGAGAAGACTAGGGAGAGCAGGGATGACCCCATGGAAAAATATTGTCCTTTCTCTGTTCATAATAAACTACCCCTTTTTTGTTGCACATATGTAGAACCAAACACAAATGCAACAAATACTAACAAAAAAGATGAATGCTGACTTCTACAAGAATTTTAGATAAGTTTTTAGTTATGAAAAAATAATGAGCTGAAGAACTAGATATTTGGGGAGGAAAAAATCAGGGCTCATTTGGACTCTGTTTCACTGCAGGTCTGAGCTCCTGCAAAACCTTCTTCAGTTTATTATGGGATTAGCATCTTGTCTTAGCAATCTTTATTTCTCTTAGATTAAAAAAAAAAAAAAAAAAAATTCCAGTTCCTCTTAAATGTAGTTATGAGAGGACAGAACTCCATATACCAGCCCTGTTTACCCGCTTAGCAATCTGCCAGTAACAGGAGTAGCTGTAAAGCTCTGTATAGAGTGAGATTTTGAACTAATTCCAGCAGGTGGAACTAGTGTGTGGCTTAAACATTTCCCTGGCTGGCCTGGCTCCTAGGTAGTCCTCAGCTGCCATGTCGATATTTGCTGGGCACAGAACCGTTTTTGGATTTTTCCTGCTCTACACAGCTAACAGCTATCCTCTTTTCTTAGCCCACTGCCACCTATGCATTTGGGCCAAGAAGTGTTTTTGCCGCCTTTAGTGTTTTAATGACCTCCGGGACAGTCAGTTTTATGCCTCTGGGATAATTTACGCCGGCTGGAAAGTTACATAGCATTCCTGTGTGCTGTTCGGCCACTAGGCCATATTTCCTGCTGACCTTCCCCCATTGACGTCAGTGGAGTTAGAGCAGTAGGGAATTTGGCCCACTCTATCAAATGAAGTCATAGCCCAGCAGTAATGATGGCACTGTCAGAGCTCTCGTGTGCTCAAGTTGTATTTTGATAATGGATGGGAATGGTCTGCACCTTTCCTTAGTGCTAGCCCACCCATTTTTTGATAGTCATGAATGCACTAACCTTGAGAAATCAGGTTAACTCAGCCTACTTTCTGCCTTGGAAAATCCAGCAGGTGCAGAGCGCGGCAGCCTGCATTCTGCTTGTTAAGCAGGGATTTGTGCAAAGGCTACGGTCTGACCCCGCTGCAGAGCCTGCACTGGCTGCTGATCTGTCTCAGGGTGGATTTCGGAGGTGTGTGTTAATTTCCAGAGCCCAGCTATCTGAGAGATGACCTCTGCCTCTGTTGTGTTTCCAAGGCAGTTGAGCAGACAGCCTCTCTGTGATAAAATGTTGAGCAATCCAGGAAAAGACAAACCTCTGCTGACAGCACGGCTGCAGTTCTTGTCCTGGTATTACGAAGCCTGGATTCAGTAAATGTCAAAAATGGATTTTTTAGTGCAAGCTGGAGAGATAATGATCTGGGCAACGTCTGTTCTGATGTTAGCTAGTGCTAGGGTCTAGTTCTCATCTGAGAAAAAGCAGCCCTTTTTGATTGCTTGGTAAAGAAAAATTACTGGTATTTCCAAAGATGTTTAAAAGAAATGGAAGACATTTTCTGAATATATATTTTGACAGTAACCATTTGAAATTATGTTTGTACTGAGATTGAAGCTTACAAAGTCTAATAAAATAATTTCAAGCTGAACATCCAAAAAAAAAAAAACACCATGTAAAACATGCTTTCTGCAGCAATAGCTGCATGAAATATTAAGCTGAGGGGACCCAGAATGCTTTCAAGCATGAAACCAGCTTAATTCTTCTGCAGGTACAAAGAGCGTTTTCTTCATTTTAGTTTATTCAGTTAGCACAGTCCAACTGGTAAGGCTAATTGACATTTGAGGAAACGGGGAGTCAGAGAAGCAGAAATTCACCTATTTCAATCTGTGAATAAAATGTAGTTGTGAGAGCTCTTGATTCAAAGATCGAAGCCGAAATTCCTTTAAGTGGTATATTCTTTATTGCAGCGCTGGATGCACGGGGGATCTCTCCACCTATCGTGCATACCCAAAGCGGAAAGCAGTCTTGAATTTATACAATCAATCTATCAATATTCTACAAGCGCCTATACATATGCATTACCTATCCCCGCCTTCCCTCGCTTCTCATGCTAATTAGCCTTTTGGCACCTTGCGCCTGCGTAGAGCCTCCCAAGAATTGTTGGGCAGGGGTCTTTGGGACCTGGGCAGGGTCTTTGGGAGAAGACCCCGAGTCTTCCTCACAGTGTACTTTTCACCTTTGGTCAGGAATCTGCTGAATTGGCATCGTTTCTTAATTGCTGAGAGCTGGTTGTTGCCATTCTTCCGTTTGTTGTATCTTTATAATGAATTCCATGTCCAATTTTGAGATTTTATGTCCTTACATTTGTTTCTCTGTCCGTTATGCCGCTTCCTTATCATGAGTTCCAGTGTCTTGTTTCGAGATATACAGTCCATGTCTGGGGATTGTCCTTGCCTCCCCAATCCTCCCAATACCTCCTTAATCAATCCCCCCTTTTCTTTTCCCATGCAAATTCTTTTGCATCAGATACTTTCATATTTACAGTAACACAACAAAGCAGGCATCTAAACAACATGCACACAAATATTCCTAACACTACTAATGTGATTAGAGCAATGAACACTTGTTTCAACCATTGGAAATTGGGCAACCAGGAGGTTAACTTATTCCATATTTCACTAAAACTCCATGAAAGATCATCTTTACTGATCTCATGTAGGACCCTTGTCTGCTTCCATATTTCTTCCAGGTGGTAGAGATCCTTCCACTCTGATCTACATACATACAACAACTTGTATTTATTACTGTACAGACTCCCCCTTGAGCGGCCAGTAACAAGTCTAGGGCCATCCGATTTTGTAATACTACCTGTGATAAATCTAGATATCTCTTCTTGTTGAGCCTTTATAGCATCCAGAGTTTTGTTTTCTAACTTCTCTAGAATTGCAGAAATATTAACTATCGCCTTTCCAATTCATTCACTCCTAACCATGGGATAAACCATTCGAACAAAACTATGAAAAGCGGTGTGTCTCTCTATCAATGGATTGTTAATTTTTCGTCTAATTCTCCAGATATGATTTCTCAAGTAACCTCGAGGCACTACATCATGTTACTGTAATATGGGGACTACTGCTCCAAGAGTGCAAGTTCCCTTCCAGTTCTCGGGCAAGACCTTACGGGCTGTATCATTGCATAGCCAATACCACCCTTTTCCTTCTGGAACTGGCCAGCTGGTTGAATTTGCCCAACTGCTAGTTGTACTAATATCAATTGTTTGATTACAAGATGTCTGATTTCCCACATAAGTAGTACCGTATTTATACAATCCTGTTTTCCCCATACCCTTAGGCGGGTTACACCTTTGTACACATACATAGTAAGATTCCAATGGCACAAAGCTACTAACTTCTAGTTCCAAAACTTCTTCATATTTTTGACCCCAAGATGTGTTTTCCCACAAATTAGTCCAAGGTAAGTTTGCAGGCAAGGGAATCCTAATTAACGATACAACCCTTATTCCCATGCTGTGGCAGATGGGTTGCATACCCAACAGTTCGTCTTATTAATCACTTGAGATACAGTTTGTATTAAGGTCAGGTGTAAGTTCTCGTCCCAAGTTGCCCATCCCAAATCTGACAACCATATCCCCACAATCATTAGGATCTGGAAAAAAGCAATTTTGCTGGTCCAATTGGGTCGTGGTCCATATCCTCGCCGGGCCTTTTTCACCTTTGAATCGTGGATCCAAGCTGCTTGCTCCTTAATCTTAATGGCGGTGTGTGTTGTCAGTAATACCTGGTATGGTCCCGTCCACTTTCCTTCCGTTTTTCCTCTAGGGGTTGTCCTGAAAAAGTCTTTATATATATAATCCCTGAGCTTAAAAGGGTGGATTGGTTGATCCAACCGTCTAGCCCAGGTCCTGAGAACAAATTTATGTACTTTATTAA